CCAGGTGTGGTGATACACTCCTGTAATCCCAGTACTTGGAAGGCGTGAGGATCCCAAGTTCAAGGCCACCCTAGATGACGAAACAAATTCAAGGCTAGCCTGGACTGCATAGTGAGATCATGTCTTTAAAAAATTAAGACATAAGCAAACAAAAAGTGACTTATACATGAAAATATATGGCAGCATTATTTACAACATTCAAAAAGTAACAACCAAATATGTATTAATTAACCTGTGAATAAACAAAATGTGAGCTGTGTATACAATTAAATATTATTCAATCATAAAAATGAAGCAAGTATATATTAGTATACAATTGTACGTGATGTAATGTGAATAAACCCTGAAAATAATACTTAAGGTAAAATAACTCACACACAAAAATCATATATTCAATAATTGTATTTGTATGAAATAGATCATTTGCTCCAATTGAAGGGCAACTGGCTCCATTTCTTTCAGGCTTGTGCAAGGTAGAAACATCACAGCAGAAGGTGTGGTGGAGCACAGCTGAGAGGGCTCAGGATCCATGCACAGGGGCTTTCTTCTGCTGCTGCTCCTCCCCCCAAATCCGGACCCCTATGGGATTGAATGGCAAGGTTCACATTCAGAGTACCTCCCGCTCGGCTTGCTGCCCCACTTGCCAACCAGCTCTGCAAATGTCCTCCCAGGAGTGTGCTTTACTAATTTCCTAAGCATTTCTCAAGCCAGTCAAGGTGGCAATCAAGCTTAATCATCAAATGAGTGTGGCATCTCTTTTGTGGTTGATGAAACTGTTTTGCAACTAAGTAGAGATGACAGTTACACACCATTTTGAATGTCATTGAATTGTACATTTAAGTTGTTAATTTTATGTTATGTTAATTTCTTCCAAACACGAGATAATAAAGATAGCTCTGTTTTCAAAAATATTCTATTTGTTTCTCAACAAAATTATGGAAAAAAATAGTATTTACACAAAATCAACTTCTCTAAGTCAGTGGCTTTCATCTTTTATGTATTGTATATCTCTGAACATCTCATGACAGCAAAATGTACATACTGAATAAATGTATATATCCTGCCCTTTCACCACACACACATACACACACACACACACACACACAGACACACAATTTCAGGTGATTTACAAATTAATAATGCCTGAACTGGTAGAGTAATTGAGCTCCCATTAACATGGCTGGGCTTCTATTTATCTCTCCTTCTGCTCATCTGATTCCCGAATAACATCTTTTCCTCCTGACCTTTTCTATATCTCATAATTTCTTTCTCACTTTGTCAGCTTGCTATGTATCAGCTTTTCTGAAGTTCATAGGGTCCAGATGAGTTATACCAAACGTTTCAGAGCTTTCAGTGATACAAATAGCTCACTGTGGCATGCATGCCATAGTTCGCCACCAGTGCATTGGATTCTGTTCCCAAAAAGTGTATATATTCTACTATTTTCTGAGCATATGAAACTTTTCATACTATTTTGGGTAATCTATAAACTGTGTCAGTTACAAACACCTGGTCTAGGTCAATCAGTATGTCAAAATTCCTTAGGCACTGACTGAGGGGCACAAGATGAGTAGACACTGGCAGGCTAGGTACCTTCTAGTTACCTTGGGGGTAAAGATACCAGAGCTGACAGACCTAGCAGGCTGTATCTTCTGCCATGTGGCAGATAGCAGGCAGCGTCCAGGAACACCTCCATCCAGGCACTGTGACTAACGGCATGGAGCAAGGAAGTCTGGGATGTGCTTTCCCCAGCTATCACTTTTCCAGAATTCATGGAGATCCTCAGCCGCAGGAGTCTAAAAGAGATTTTGTTTTCATGAGACAAACAGTGTTCCTCTCCCTTTGTGGGGCAGAGTAACCCTGTAGACCTTTGACTGAGGGCGAGAAAAGGTACACAACCTCACTCACCTGTCCATATAAAGTTCCAGAGTTACAGAGCCAGATAACTAATTCCAGAAATTGAAAGGCTGTGGAATTGGACAGGGTTAGGACCTCAGTACCTTTCCTGCCTAGTGACAGGGCAGGGAAGATGAGATGATCTTTCTTGTGTCCTCCATAACCTTGCAGCTTTTTACTTTTTTCAAAGCTAAACCTCTCAATGAAAATATAGGCATGGTGCCAGGTCTGGTGGTCATGCCTCTAATCCCAGCTACTTGGGAGGTCTGGCAAGAGGATTGCATGATCCTAGCCTGGAACACTTAATGAGAACATGTTAAAAAAAAGTAGTAAATGCTAATGATGTAGCTCCATTATAGAGCATCCCTGGATCTAATCCCCAGTACTGAAAAGAAATGCTTTGGTTAAAATACTCACAATTGGCATTGTGCCAGCTACCAGATTACAGCAAATCTCTCTAGCAATCAGCAATTGTTTGGGAGTAGTAAACAATGTATTTTTAAAAAACAGTACAAGACAGAAGGAGCTGTTCATGCCATTTTCTAAATATAAATTGTGTATATAACCAATTGAATTTATTTTTCTTGATGGTACAAATTAATGTTATTGGTTTAATTTGATTTCTTTTCTGAATAGAAAATTTTGGAATCCTATTGGACCTTTTCCCTTTACCTTAAACACAAGTAAAACTTTTTGAACTAATTTTTCTATTTATAAGAACAACTTCGGCTCAGAGAAGTATATAAGACAGAAAATATTTTAAAAGAAAATAAAATCGCTATTTCAATTATTTGCATCCCTATTTGACAATTCAAAGGCTGGACTACAGACAAAATAAGTATCAGCCGCAAAAGGAGAAATAGTTTGAAGGTGCCTGAGGTAAAAGGAGAGAATAACAAAATTCAATTCCTCAGGGATGTGTTAAATGGCCAGTAATTTTAGAAGATGCAGCCCTTCTCTGATAACCACAGGAGGCTAAATACCACAGCATAAAGAGACCTCATTCGATTTCTGGGGTTAGTTAAAACACAATGACAGCGATGCCAGAGGTGGGGGAGAGGAGAGGAGAGAGTGAGTAGTGAGGGGAAGAAGACTGACGCACTTTCTACTGGTGGGAGGAAATCTAGCCCCCACCCCCAGCCCACTGGTGACGTTTCCCCCACGTGATCAGGAGCTGACGAGTGAAGAAGTTCCTCTCTTCCAGGTACCAGCACCCCATTTCCGTGGAAGAAGGCAGAATTCAGACTGAGGGACGGCAGGGAGCAACTGCTCTCTCACCCTGCAGGTCAGTAACCGTAACCGCGGGCTTCTCAGAAAGAAGGAAGGAGTCATCTCCCCCTATAGCTGCAAATCCTTAGCCAGCAAGTGCAGTGGTAGGGATGACAGAAAGCAAACAGTAGAGCAGACCTGGCTCCTCTCCACTGCGTTCCAGATGCCCACTGTTTAGCACAACAAATGGAGAGCTGAGCGCATAGGGGGGAAGGGTTTGAGAGAGATCAAGGGGAAAGAATGGGTACCAATTGAAATCCCTTAGGAAGGGCGATTGAGTTACCTTTGATGAAGAGGGCTGGGAGAGGGAAACTGTGATCCCGGGACTTGGAGATCCAATCCTGTATCCAGCCCAGGCTTGAGTTCTCCGTATCTCTTCTCCATCCTCCATCCATTTTGGAGCTGCAAATGGTGGGCTGAGGGGGCCTGGGTTGGCTGAGTGGAGGAGGAGGCGCCACAGAGGAGGAGACTAGAGGTTTGTTCTGGAGACTAGCTTCTAATTGAAGAGGACTGGTTTCTGAAATAAGCAAGGTTAAAAAGAGATATAGCGTGGACTTCATTTGTTTCTTGTGTTGCAGGAAAATGTAGTCTTTCTGTGTACGTGGATATGGAGGGGGTGACAGGAGTGCTCTGGCCATTTCCGTCCTGTTCCCTGCCCCTGGCACATCCATTTTCAGCAACAGTCCCTGGACTTTATGTCATCTGGGTCCCCTGCAGTGGAGGAGTTGGAATGCTTTCTCCTAAGTGTAGCAAGACCTGCCTCCTGAGAGGCATGGTCTAGAACACTGTTCATTTTGGTGCAAGGCAAGGTGACAGAATTTGAGAGAATGCAGACACATAGAGGTGCTTTGGAAATATACGTTCTCTTCTATTGCTGAGTAAAAGGAAACAGGAGGCTCTTAGGTGAGAACTATACAGTGAGAATCAGAGAAAGCAAAGGGAAGGTGAGAAGGTGGCAGGACTTGAGAAAGTTTTAATAAATACTTCAAAAAGAATCATTGTTCAGCTGCTAGTCACTCACTTTCACACATTTACCATCTGCCTCTTGTCTCTCTGCAGGTCTTCAATTTTGTGGCTGTAGGCACCAACCCGGACAAGAAAAGAAGAGATCTCTGGTTTTGGTGCAGGTCAGTGGGAGAAGGTACCTGCCAGAGGACCCCAGGAAGTAGGACTGACTTAAATCAGAGCACAAGTTGGGGAGGTGATGTCCTGTGCCTCTCACCTCTCCTCTAATTCTTCCTATTCAAGACCCAGGACAGCAATGGGAACCTTGTTATCACTGAAAGCTCTAAAAGATTTACCATCACTGTCCTAGGGGAATACGGTGCTTTAAAGCTGGGAGGATAGAGGGGAGAACAGGGAAGTGAGAAGAGGGAGATGCATCATCTGCCATGCCCCTGGTAGATAGCAGAGAAGCCCAGAAATCTGATAATTTGCCATTGTTCTATTCTGCCTGCAGTTTCATGAACTTCTGGGGGAGTACTGCAATTTGCAACTGGTACAGGCATAGTCAAGGCCACAGGGAAATTTTGAAATCAATCTGCTCCTACACATTTCTTAGCACACCCCTCTAACTGTTGGGAGAATCATCTGTAGAGGCGTTTGTTCTTGTTTTGTTTTGTTTTTGCAAGGTTTAGTCACATGAATATGTGTGAAGTCAGAAGGAAAAGCAAGCATGTAATGGTGGGACTGCACCTGAAAGGTGGGCTAGAGTTGGGAGAACCCTAAGTCAAGAAAGGCAAGTATTGCCAAGAGCTCATTCTACTCCCTAGGCCTTTAGCATTCCATGTCTCTTCTTTTTCTCCTAACATAGGCAAAAGCGGAGAAATCACAACATGGAAAAGTTCTACACAGAAGATGAAGAAAAACCAGAAAATGAGGGCAAAGCAGAAGACAAAATAGAGACTCAAGATGAAGGAAAGCCAGAAGAGACAGCAAAACCAGACTTGGGGGGGAAGCTAGCCCATGAGGGAAAGCTGGAAGGGGAAAGACAGCCAGGTGTGGAGGTACAAGGGGAAAATGAGGGCAAGCTACAAATACAGGGCAAGTCCAAGAATGAGGGCAAGCCCCAGGGTGAGAGCACAGCAGCGTCCCAGGTACAGTCAACTAGTGAGCAGCAGCCCACCGGAAAGTGCCCTGTGGAAGATTATGTGCCCCGGAAAGCAAAAAGAAAAACTGATAGGGCGACTGAAGACTCCCCCAGGGACTCTCAGGAGAATCTACAGGGCAGGCATTTGAGCAGTGGGGAGGTGATGGCACAGTGTGCGGATATGTCAAGGGCTCAGGAAGAACTGAGGAAAAAACAGAGGATGAGTAATTTTCACTGGATGCAAAGAGAGCTGCTGGATTCGTACCCCCCAAGGGTCCCAAAAGGTGTAAGGGCAGTGAGGGGTGGAGGTAGGGGTCAGAAGAACTTAGAAGATCATCCTTATGTTTAATGGCTTTGACCTTGAATGATTATTTCTCTGATAAAAATATTGCCAGCTCTGCTTTTCCAGGCAGGCATTTGCCTGGCTAGATGCTTTAATCTTATGCTGATTCTTTCCTCTTGCTACCAGCAGCCTGTCTACCTAAGTACAACGTTGTCTTTTACTACTGGATTTTCACCTGTGTGTGTGTGAAGATGTTCATGGTACCTTATAAAATAACAATAAAAGACAGTTTTCAGAACCACATATACAGTATCAGCCAAGTTTTTCTTTAAAAAAATATAGTTACATAATATATTTATGCAAAAGGAATGCTACGCAACTGAGTAGACCAAAGAAAATAATAATTGTCTCTGAGCTATAATACAAGAGATTATTTGTTTTTTCATCTATATTTCCCACCATGAAGAACAGATTACTTTTATCAGAAATGAAATAAGAGGGGCCAGGGAGATGGCTCAGTGGAATAAGTGCTTCTCTGGCAAGCACAGGGGCCTGAGTTCAATGCCCGGTTCCACAAAAAAGAAAAGAAAAGAAATGAAATAAGAGATAAACGAAATAGGAAACCAATACAAACTAGCCAATCAAAAGAACTATTGGTTGGGCTTATGAAGGCAGTGAAGAAATTTTAAATTCCTGTTAGAATACAAAATGATAGCTAAAATTCCCATTCCCTATGAGGCTCTGTGGAAGTGGGTGGAATCAATGTGATAGTTCCTGCATATCCATTCCTGTAGAAGACAACACTGTCATTTCTGAAATGGTGATGAAGCCTCCCAGGAATGTGAAGTAGACCAGATATGACATCAAATGCAAGAGCTGTGTTGAGCTGGTTTTTACTCTCGGTCTTATAGTAGAAGTACAGGATCAGAAACATAAGGGAGGGTTGAGGGACATCCCACCTTTGCCCAGCAATAGGTCCAGGAAGGTGAGAGGTAGGTGTCACCCTCCCTCTAGGTGATGCCATATATGTGGAGTATTGTACTCTACTCCTTGTCTAGGGCCTCGTGTCTGCCTAAGGTCCCAACTGCTGCTGGTGGGGCCTGGGAGATGGCTCAGTAGAATAAATGCTTGCCTGGCAAGTGCAAGGGCCTGAGTTCAACCCCCAGTTCCACCAAAAAAAAATCCTTCCAACTGCTGCTGGTGGGATGGAGTCCTGACATGTACTGAAGGTTTTTTTTTATTACATTATCTTCTGAATTGTTGAGAATGTCCCATTTGTAACTATATTTACATTAATCCTGACATGAGATATGGAAAAACATGCTTTACAAAATGAACTGATATTTGTCAGACCTTATAATTGCCCCACTAGATTTGCCCTTTTCAAAACAAGAATTATTTTACTTTGCTACCCCACAACACATAATAGAAGTTTCAAAATGCAATTCATTACTTGTTGAGTCAGAAAGCCTCAGGTCTTGGGCAAGTTCTATACTTCATTGAATATGTAGCCTTGAGCACCGAGTTTCATTTTTCAGCAATTGAAATGTCATTTCAAAAGGAGCACAGAAGGAGAGGAATTATAGTATAAGCTATTGGTAAGTGAAGTTAATATTGAACACTGTAGTGTTTTGCAAAGGTTGGTGGTTTTAGGCACACTACTATCAAAATCCTAGCTATCAAATTGAAACTGCAGAATCCTGACTTTTGCATCAGACCCAATTTCTTCTGATTTGTCTCCACAATGTTCGTGTGTATTTTTCACTATTAGTTCATTTTTATTTTTACCAAATAGATACATGCACAAAACTTTAAAATAGAATAGTGTAAAAAATTAAAAACTGCAGTATCTTCCTTGCCATTCATTATTTCCACTCTCTACAAGAAGGAACCATACCAAAAAAAGAAACAACCATAAATATGTTTAGTTTTTTCTGGTTGTTTACTTCCATATTTCTAAATATGTAGATGCTGTTGCTTTTTAACATTTTTTGAAGTGTAATTGACACATCATAAAATTTACTCAGATTAAAATACACAATTAAGAGATTTTTAGTATATTAGCATAATTCTGAAATCACATTGCTTAGTTGCAGAATAGATATTTTCTTCATATTAAAAGGAAACCCTATACCCATTAGCACATACCGTTGCTCCCATTCTACCACACTCCTAGCACCTGGTAAACCCTCATTTCTTCTTTAATCTTTTATTTATTTATTCATTTATTTACTTATTACAGGGTCTCACTACACAGCTTGGACTCATAGTAATCTTCCTGTCCCAGCGCTGGGATTCCAGGCATGTGCCACCAAGCCCAGGCTGGCACAGCATGGCACAGCACAGCATAGCAAGGCATGGCATGGCATGAGGTACCAGGGATTGAACCCAAGTCCTCCTACTTGCCAGGCAGGCACTTGGACTGTCAAGCTACGTTCCTGACCCCAAACCCTCATTTCTTTCTCTCTCTATGGACTTTCTCACTTCATAGTCTTGTTTCACTTACCATAATGCTTTCAAGGTTCAACTATGTTGTAGTAATATGTATTTTTATTAAACTACAAGTTTTTGTGAGTAAATATGTTCTTAATATTCTTGGGTATGTACCTAGTAGTGGAATTTGTGAATTGCATGTTGATTTTATGTTTAAATTTTGAGGAGCTGCCAACTGTTTCCAAAGCAACTGACATTTGACAATCTAGCAGTAGTATATGAGGGTTCCAGGTTCTCCAGATCCTTGCCAGTGTCTGTTATTTACAGTACATGGTTTTGATCTTAGTGAGTATAATTTAGCATGTCATCATGGTTTTTTGATATGCATTTTCCTAATGATGTCTATAATGTTTTCATATTTTTACTGACCACTGTACAACTCCCTCCAAGAAATTCATATTATTTTATTAATTTTTGTTTTTGGCGGAACCAGGGATTGAACTCAGGCCCCTGCGCTTGCCAGGGAAGCACTTATTACACTGAGCCATCTCCCCGGCCCCTATTTTATTAATTTGAAAATTGGATTATCTCATTACTGAGTTGGAAGAGTTCTTCGTTTAGTATGGACACAGTTCACTCATCAGATACATGACTTGCAACTGTTATTCCCTTCTCAATTCTAGTTATATCTATTGAGCTTCTGATGTGATGAAGTAATTCTTCCTTGCCATATGCATTCGCTTTTTGTTGCTGTAACAAATACCTGAGATAAAAGAGGAACAGTTTATGTTGGTTTATGGTTCCAGATGTTTCAGTCCAAGGTGACTTTGCCCCGTTGCCCTGGGGCCTATTGTGGCACAGCACATCATGTCAAGAAGCATGTGGCAGAGAGGCTGCCCACCTCATGGCAAGCAGGAAACAAAGAAGGGAAAGGAGCCAAGGTCTTCTCCCCTCCAAAGAGAAGGTGCCTGTGACGTAACCTGCTCTCACTACCACTACACCTCACCTCCCAAAGGTTCTACCACTTCCAGATAGTGACACAGACTGCTAACCAAGTATTTAGCTCATGGGTCTTTGGGTGACGCTTGAACCATAGCACCACACAATTTACTGCATCTATTTCCAGAACATGCCCAATATAGCTTTATCACATATGACGTATATTTTAGAAACATCACAATAATTTTTGCTGTACTCTGAGGAACACTGTGTATACTTGGAGGGAAATAGGCTAAACTTACACTAAAGTACTTAACCACTCCCAAACCTCCCTGCTGTAGCACAATAAAGTTTTCTCAATCTTTATGAAGACTGGGTACAAAGAAGCTCTGTTTACTGTAATCTCTTAAAAATTCAGACTATGGTGTTACTGCTCCAGAGGAAGAGTCCCTAGAGTTCTCATAATTGTTTTTTACACTTTAGTATTCTAAGAATGACATATATTGCTACAGTACACATTCTACTTTCCTATATTCTTGTTTCTTTTAGTTTGACAAGTAATTCTGAGAGAAGTGTTGTTATGCCATTGATATAGGTGAGTGAACTGAGGTTCAAAGAGAGTAAGTGATTTATGAAAAGTCATTTGGAGGGGAAATCCAAATATATTTGGGTCTAATATGGAAACATCTGACCTCTTTCCTTTTCTAAACCTAAGGATTAGAATTGTATCTTACCTTTATAGTCCAATCAATCATTTAGAATGTCAAAAAATTGGTACAGTTCCCTTAATGAGAAACTTAAAGAACAATGACACAACAAATTACTTCCTCCATCATCAATGCCTTCCAAACGTATTTTCATACCAATTTACAGCTTGACTGCCCTGGCTCCCCAAATTGTGAGCTATATTGCTAGTGAATGTGGATGTTGAGACATGTGGTGATACTTCTTGTGAGTTGTAAGGCTGCATGTCCATAGAGGCAAGCTCCTCTCGCTTGAAGTCTCTTCTGCTTTTGGGCATGAGCTGACTTGGACATCAGAGTACTTTACCCAGCAGACACAGAACTAAAGTCATCATAAAAATACCAAAACAGACGCATGGACAATAGAGGACCTTCTGGGAATGTGTGCACAATGAATTAGAGGTGTCTTCCCACCTGGATCCCTTCCATAATGGCCCAGGGGGCTGTTTCTCCAAACTCTAAGGGAAGGATTCAACTCTTCTACTTTAACTGAAAATAATCCAGCAAAAAATTACAACTAACTCTGAAAAGGACAAATGCACTACATTTTTATGCTATAGAGTTTTATTTCTATCCCTACAAAAGTCTCCTACATACTTTGACAGCATATCCTGCTTTCTTTAGGGAAAGATAAAAATACAAAGCTTTATAACTAAAAATGAAGTGATATCTGGTCATTGGAGCTTATCAGACCTACTATTCATTTATGTTGAGCCAATAGACAATGACCATTATTGTTAAGGAAGAGGATATAACGGGTTTTATTTACTTCTCTCTCACTCCTCTCCCAAACATAAGAAATGCTTTTGAGGTGAGGAGAGAAAAGTTCTTGAGAATATCCCCCAATTCCTTCTATACTATAAAGCACTATATCAAAAGAATATATGCCATCAAAAAAAGGTTTAAATTGAATGTAACATTTAAGTTGTAAAATGAACAGGGTAATTCCAA